TTGAAAAAAAAAGCTCCCAGATGGGTTGATGGCTCTAAGACAATAACAATATGCAAAGAAATAATGGAAAATGCATTTTTTCCCTTAAATTTCAATATTAATTGAACTTTAGAAATATTGAACATATTATGCAATGCAGTTTGTTTCAAAGACCTATTTCCTGTAAAGGAAATAGAAGAAATTGCAGAAGCAACCATTTTGGCAACCCACATTTAGGTTATTTTTTTCTGTTATAAAAGATGAATTTAAAGATATTGAAAAAATCCCCTTGGATGAAAGGGGTAGTTACATTGGAAGTGGAGGGGGACGGAGGGCTATATGAATTTGTTTGTATTGTAACTTGTAGATGTAGGCAATTTCTTATTGAATGCCTTTAGAACTATTAGAATAGATATAGGCAAAGTACCTGCCAGCACATTTAATTTGTGAATAGGCCATTTGTTTATTAGCAGCTAGATGCGATATTGCAAGAAAATATGTGCAGTGGCTTTGTAAGTTGCTAATTCCTCCCATAGAACATTCTAAGGTAATGTAAATCAGCTAGTTAGAAAGGAAGGAGCCAACAACAATAAAAAGAGACTGGGGAACTGCTTTTGCCTGTTTGGCTAATACCACAATATGTGGTTAAGACTAAATTATTCTTATTTGTTCATATCAAGTATAAATACATAGTTTGGACACAGACTTCTTGTTATTTAAGGGTATAAGTCAGAGTATAAAGGAAAAAGGAAAGGAAAGATAACACATATATAACAAAATGGCTTGTTACACTAGATGAAAATCAAATTTAAGCTTAAGATATTTTTAGGATAGTCTTTTTCACACATACACATTTGAAACCACTAGTGACTTAATTTTGCCTGCTTGACAGCCCTCATTGTTTACATATACCAGCAAATGGCATAATTGATTTTACACACTAGATTTACTAGTTGACACTCACTGCATCTCATTCATCCAGGTTTTTAAAAGCTTGATGGGCAATCCAGGCTTGAAGGTGCAATTGAAGTATATACTTATGGACTTTTTTTGTGAAATGTCTCTGCACATAGATGGCTCTGCTAGTGGTTAGCCACAAAGGAGTCAGTTTGTAGACCTTGTGACCTTACCTGAGTTCACCTTTCCTTGAATTGGCAATATTTTTTTTTTTCAGCTAATGCTATTAATATCGATGGTGTTTTTATTATTATAGACTTTATAATTACTATAATGTTGTAGACATTAATAACAACAATATAAGATCATGGAAAATATTTTCAAAAATCAAGAAAAGGGTAAACAGGTGATACAGGCAGTACTCATAATTGGCTCATTGGGGACTTGGTACCCATCTATGTGTAAAAACAATTAATAAAGTAAACTTTATTATAGCATGTACATACATGCCATGCCCATCAGATTTGGGTTAAGAAGTCCTGTTCTAACACATTGTTACCTTCAACAAACTGCAGTTTACTCTATAGCTACCTGAGATGCATTAACATTTGTCTACACAGACCTCTATCTTCTTTTCTCCACTAATTTGATGATATAATATTACAGTATAGCAGTAACAGATAGGCATATTATTGACAAATCAAAATTTAAGAAAACATATTTTGCCTCATAGAGATGGTAATGTCAGAGAAAGAACAGGTGTGTAGTCTTGAGCAACCACAAAAGGTCAGAGGTCTTGATTGAGTCTGACATTTTCACTCATCTGAGCATCCATACATGCTTTTGGTAACGAAATTCTCAGACATACAGTTAAGCATCCTTGTGACACCCCCAAATGTCCTGTAATGTTACAGGATCCCCCCTCCCCCCTATGCTTGTAACCTTATATGAGCTGCTGTGAAGGGATTGACACTCACATGCTCATCATTTGCTAATGTGATTACCAGTGATTATGACCCAATTATATATTGGAATAGCTGAATATTATGAGGTATCAGAAGATGCACAACATACAAGTTTATAATATTTGTGAGGGATCAAGGGAACTGTCCCCCCAAAGGAAGCCTACCCCCATCCCCCATTCCCCATTTTTTATAATAAAAAAGGCTTCTTGGAATTTCATGAATTTTGGTATGCTGACACAGGTTCTGTTAGTGACATTTTGGTACCCTTATTTTTAAATTTCTTCCAGGTGGGAGGTGGGACAGAGCCCTCTCTCCTTTTTATACATAGTGATTGATTGTAGAATTCTTTGTACTGTATTTATTATTATTTTTCAATCAAAATTTAATATGAGTAACCTATATCTGTATATGAAATGATGTATCAAATTTTAATAATAATTCTGAAGTTTTGAATAATTTCAAGTTAGAAAATGGTAAAGAATTTACTTATTTTGCCAATAATTATCATTAAAAATGCATTTCTTTCAAAACAGAAAAACAAATGATAATTGGTACTGAAATGTCCTTCTTGAGGAGGAATGTGTTACTGAGATCAAACAAAAACTGGGACAAGGGATTTCTACCATATAAAGAATGGTTTTGAAGATTGACCTTAAAGTTTTTCCATAGATGTTGATTAATTATATATCATTTTGCTTATATGAGCAACTTCTATATACCATGAGAGAGCTCTTGCCTAGACCTTTCCATTGTTGCTGTTGCATTTAGATGGGGTCATTTGTTATTGCTCAGCATCACAAAGCACAGGATGCTTGTCACTGATAGCCATCCATTGCTCCTACCATGGGGCCCACATAACCATGTAACAAGGTTATGTCCCATGGTAAACTTTGCGCACACCAGCTTCCTTTACCCTCAGTCTTCTGCAATGCCTAAGAATGGTCCCCAACATGGTTGCTCCACTTTGTTTCTGCTCTTCACTTTTTTTTCCCATAACAATCACCCGCCACTCTGCCAAAAATTTTCATAACGCGACATCTATGTCACCCAGCTCCAACAGGTTAATTGGCAGCTGATCATCTTTTATGCATACTTGGTAGAGAGAGAATAGAAGTGATAGTAAATATTTTGAAACTAATGTTCTTAAAGAAAGGAGAGAGTATTATGCATACTGTTATGTCCTGGCATTGTGTCTCATTCTCTGACATAGACTGCGTTTTCCATTGCCCATTGCTCATCATATTGATTAGTATTCTCAAAAGTAATTTTTATATTATCACATTAAGAGGGGCCTTTGTGTTACTTTGATTCATGAATATTTGACTATTATTGTCTCAAAATATTCATGCGGAATATTTTTTTAAAATATCAGCTGTTTTTCCCGTCTTAGCTAGACAAATCATCTGACATATTATATGTTTTATGTTTATTGATTAAATAACACATATAGCATGAAATCATTTTACTCTGTATTCATCATATTATTAAATTTTGTAACATTTCTTTACAGATTACTCTTGTGCACTGCAGAAAGACATTTTAGTCCATGGGCGCCTCTATGTGACACCAAACTACTTCAGTTTCTACTCAAAGATATTTGGGTGGGAGACATTTGTAAGTAGCCTTTATTTTTTCTAAAAATCATATATTAGATTGAATATTTTTTACATGAAAATGAGAATAAGGTTATGTAGGAGAATAAGAGATACAATAAGTATAACTGTACCAACATAACCACAGATTTGTAATTGATAGGAAGTTGATTGAACTCAAAATCTTTGTGTTTAGTCTTGATGGTGAGTTGAAAGCAGTTCAGTGTAACACTTGAAGAGGACACTAAAACTTCAATAACCCTCTCACAACAGGTATCGATTCGCTGCAAGGACATCATAGCGATGACAAAGGAAAAGACGGCTCTTGTGATTCCAAATGCCATTGAAATCCGAACTGAGGGAGAAAAACACTTCCTTACATCATTTGCTTCCAGAGATAAAACATACTTAATGCTCTTTAGAATTTGGCAAAATGCTTTAATGGACCAGGTAAGTGGATTTGAATATTGTATATAAGATTGCTATTTAATTTCAAACTCATTTTATATATTGGAATAGCTGAATATTATGAGGTATCAGAAGATGCACAACATACAAGTTTATAATATTTGTGAGGGATCAAGGGAACTGTCCCCCCAAAGGAAGCCTACCCCCATCCCCCATTCCCCATTTTTTATAATAAAAAAGGCTTCTTGGAATTTCATGAATTTTGGTATGCTGACACAGGTTCTGTTAGTGACATTTTGGTACCCTTATTTTTAAATTTCTTCCAGGTGGGAGGTGGGACAGAGCCCTCTTTCCTTTTTATACATAGTGATTGATTGTAGAATTCTTTGTACTGTATTTATTATTATTTTTCAATCAAAATTTAACATGAGTAACCTATATCTGTATATGAAATGATGTATCAAATTTTAATAACAATTCTGAAGTTTTGAATAATTTCAAGTTAGAAAATGGTAAAGAATTTACTTATTTTGCCAATAATTATCATTAAAAATGCATTTCTTTCAAAACAGAAAAACAAATGATAATTGGTACTGAAATGTCCTTCTTGAGGAGAAATGTGTTACTGAGATCAAACAAAAACTGGGACAAGGGATTTCTACCATATAAAGAATGGTTTTGAAGATTGACCTTAAAGTTTTTCCATAGATGTTGATTAATTATATATCATTTTGCTTATATGAGCAACTTCTATATACCATGAGAGAGCTCTTGCCTAGACCTTTCCATTGTTGCTGTTGCATTTAGATGGGGTCATTTGTTATTGCTCAGCATCACAAAGCACAGGATGCTTGTCACTGATAGCCATCCATTGCTCCTACCATGGGGCCCACATAACCATGTAACAAGGTTATGTCCCATGGTAAACTTTGCGCACACCAGCTTCCTTTACCCTCAGTCTTCTGCAATGCCTAAGAATGGTCCCCAACATGGTTGCTCCACTTTGTTTCTGCTCTTCACTTTTTTTTCCCATAACAATCACCCGCCACTCTGCCAAAAATTTTCATAACACAACATCCCTGTCACCCAGATCCAACAGGTTAATTGGCAGCTGATCATCTTTTATGCATACTTGGTAGAGAGAGAATAGAAGTGATAG